CTGTTAGTTAGCTATCTGTATTAATTTAACTCTCTCCTAAAGGCTCAACTAATAAATGTATTGAACTCATTTGATAACTATTTATTCTATAATTGTCTATGGTGTAACTGTTAGTTAGCTATCTGTATTAATTTAACTCTCTCCTAAAGGCTCAACTAATAAATGTATTGAACTCATTTGATAACTATTTATTCTATAATTGTTCATGGTGTAACTGTTAGTTAGCTATCTGTATTAATTTAACTCTCTCCTAAAGGCTCAACTAATAAATGTATTGAACTCATTTGATAACTATTTATTCTATAATTGTTCATGGTGTAACTGTTAGTTAGCTATCTGCATTAATTTAACTCTCTCCTAAAGGCTCAACTAATAAATGTATGGAACTCATTTGATAACTATTTATTCTATAATTGTTCATGGTGTAACTGTTAGTTAGCTATCTGCATTAATTTAACTCTCTCCTAAAGGCTCAACTAATAAATGTATTGAACTCATTTGATAACTATTTATTCTATAATTGTTCATGGTGTAACTGTTAGTAAGCTATCTGTATTAATTTAACTCTCTCCTAAAGGCTCAACTAATAAATGTATTGAACTCATTTGATAACTATTTATTCTATAATTGTTCATGGTGTAACTGTTAGTAAGCTATCTGTATTAATTTAACTCTCTCCTAAAGGCTCAACTAATAAATGTATGGAACTCATTTGATAACTATTTATTCTATAATTGTTCATGGTGTAACTGTTAGTTAACTATCTGCATTAATTTAACTCTCTCCTAAAGGCTCAACTAATAAAATAAATAATAAATACCTCATCGTTAGTAGAGACATCAGTAATGGTGGAAGTTTTTACAATCGGTTGATCAATTCCTTCGATTAATATCCAGTTTCCAGCTGATACACGATTCACTTCGATTTTATATCTACAATTTTCAACGTTTAAAATTAACACATTCTCTCCCATCTTTAAATCTACAATATTCGACATTAAGGAGACATTTCGCCTTTTTTGTAGGTCGAAAACAATTTTCGCTCAAATTTATGACAATTATACACCAAAATCTAGACCAAGATAAGAGCCGNTCCACAATCATTTGTTGATGTAACGAGCAAATGACGTC